GTTGTTGGTGGACCCGGGCTGGATTCGAACCCGCCACCTTGGGTGTACGTGGCTGGCACCTTAGCCACTTGAGCCACAGGTGCCGAGCCTTTCCCTTTTTTTTTCTTCTTTTCTTTTGAGACAGAGTCTTGCTTTGTCACCCTCAGTAGATTGCCCTGGCATCATAGCTCACAGCAACCTCAAATTCTTGGATTCAAGTGATTATTCTCTTGCCTCAGCCTCCCAAGTGGCCGGGACTACAGGCACTTGCCATAATACCCAGCTGCTTTTAGAGATAAGGGTCTTGTTCTTGCTCAAGCTGGGCTCGAACTGGTAAGCTCAGGCAATCTACCCTCCTTGGCCTCCCAGAGTGCTGGGATTACAGGCATGAGCCACTGCGCCCGGCCTCTTTTTCTGAATAAAATAATCACGTGATTTTTCTTCTGTTAATATGCTTAATACACTGATTTTCAAATATTCCTGGGACATATTCAACTTAGAGTGATAAATTACCCTTTTCTACATTACTAGATTCATTTTGTTAATATAGTAGAACCTCCATAAGGTGACCACCCAAAGGACTGTCACAACATACAAGGTGGTCACCATAAGACTAGGTCTACTGCACTGATAGTATTAATACATGTGGTGCATGTCCAGTCTGTGAAAATTAGGTCACCTTAAAGATGTGGTCAGTGTAAGGAGGTGGTCAGTTATGGAGGTTCTACTATGTTTTGTTGAGGTCTTTTTTTTTTTTAGGCAGATCTCTTTTTTGCCATCGGTCAAGTGCCATGGTGTCATAGCTCACAGCAACCTCAGATTCTTAGGCTCAAGAGATCCTCTTACCTCAGCCTCCTGAATAGCTGGGACTACAGGTGCTCACCACAACTCCTGGCTATTTTTTTAAAGACAGGGTCTCACTCTTGCTCAGGTTGGTCTTGAACCTGTGAGCTCAGGCAATTTGCCTGCCTTGGCCTCCCAGAATGCTGGGATTACTGGGGTGAGCCACCATGCCGGGCCATGTTGAGGACTTTTGCCTCTATGTTCGTGAAGAATATTGGTTTGTAGCTTTCTAAACCAAGTGCATGTGGATTATCCATCAGGACAGACTATACGTTCTGGACCATAAACAAAAAGCTTAGCCAAAGTTTGAAATCTTTAATAACACAATTGAAATCATGCAAAGTATGTTCTCTGACTATATCAGAATAGTAAAAACAGAACAACACACCTTTAAATAAACTACTGAACAAAAAAGAAGTCTCAAGAGAAATTAGAAAATACTCTGAGCAGAATAAAAGTTAAAATACATCAACAGTCATAAGGATACAGACAAAGCAGTGTTCAGTAGAAAATTTATAGCATTATAATGCTTACATTAGAAAGTAATAAGGGTCTCAAATCAGCAATCTGAGCTTCCACCTTAAGAAACTGGAAAAAGGCTCGGTGCCTATAGCTCAACCGGCTAAGGCGCCAGCCACGTACACCTAAGGTGGTGGGTTCGAATCC